ATTTTGATGTGAGAGACAGCAGAAGATGGATTTTTTTCACTGGAATAAGTGTTATTATGGACTCGTATTTTGGCCAGAAGTGACGGTTTGAAGTTAAAACATCTTAATGATGGATTTGTTTCTTACAAACACAATAGATTTTCACTTCCCAAGACATTAACTGATGGACTGGAGTGGTGTGGATTATTGTGATGTTTTTATCAGCTGTTTGGACTCTCATTCTGACGGCACCCATTCACTGCAGAGCATCCATTGGTGAATGGCCTGAGGGTGAGTACATTTTTCATTCCTGGGTGACCTACTCCTTTAATATTTTGAATTAGATCCTATTTTTTTTTTCATTTTCAGTATTAATTTATTGAAGTTTTTTGTAATAGTTATATGTTTTTCATATCCAATTTTCATTTAGTTTAAACTTTTCATCTTATGTTTATGTTATTTTATTTCAGCTTCATTTCAAAATATTTTTAATGGTTTTAGTTAATAAAAAGAACCCTGGAAAGAGTTTATATTACACTGTGAACAAAAAGATTATTGGAGTATGTTACCTACAGTCTTTCTACTTCACAATTTCACATTTCATTCAATGTGTTACTTGCCTAATATTTGTGAAATTGACTAGCAATTCCTGAGTGTAATTGGGCCAAACCTGAATGGGTAGGTGAAAGTGGCACTGAGGGTTTCATTGCTGCCTCCGCCACAGAAGATGGAAACCACATTTTTGCCAGTATATCCTCCACAGGTCCCGAATGCAAGCACGGCCATGAGCTGGAGAAAACCAGAGCATTATGCATGCAAACAATAGAAGCATGCAGTCACGTCTTCAGTTTCCTACATGCACAAACCTGAAGATGCACTGCAGAGGTTACCATGAAATAAGCTTTCTTCGCCGCCCGTGTTCATGAATCATCTGACATACTAATCTGATCTTGTGCTCAGTTTGTGTTTAACCCTTGGAAGTTAAATGAAGACCTGCTGTTCATGGCCAACTTCAGGCTCATTTTCCAAAACCAGATGTTTGGTTTCGCTGCATGATACATCCTGTTTGCCAGCTCATTCTCAAGAAGCAATTTAAACAAACCGGAGAAACTTCTCATCCGTCCCACTTTCAGATTTATGCTTTATAGACAGCAACAGCTGAGTCAGTAACTCCATTCTCCCTGCCAATAACAAATTCCTTTGAGGAAATAAAGAAGGGAGGAACTTCATGTAAGTAGGTGGCTAAAGAAAACTTAAGACATGCCGAGTTGCTGGTGAAGGGAATGTGCAAAAAAATATATATGCATAAGAGGACAAGTGAAAATGCTTCTTTTGCATATATATATTTCATAATTTCTTAGTATGCACTCAAGCATGCATGAACAAAACATGAAGAAACTTTCCAGGTTTGAAAGAAAAAAAGTGAAAATTAAACATTTTATAAAATAACTATATATAATAAATGAGAATTACTCTGTGTTTTGTTAGTGGTTGGGACTAAACGTGTTTAATCTAGATAGACTTTTAACTATACTTTGCATGGAAAAATGCATTGTTGTAAGTGCGTTTTTAGCCAGGCCTTTGCCCTCCTTATGAAGTTAAAGCTTGAAAACGAGCTCAACAGATTTGGAGTTTCTTACTTACCCACTCCACGAGTTTAACAAAACCCAGAGGCTCTTTAACAGGGGTCAAATTTAATCTAAATCCCGTCTGCATCTCTCTGCGCCGACCCAGATATCCTCCAGGAAGAGAAAAAAGGATGAATCTCGCTGGCTCAAGTTTTCATAAAAATCTGCAAGTTTGACAGAGTGACGTGGTTCTGTGGCGAAAGATGCTGCTCCTCCCCCGCGAGGACCCCAGAGTAAATCCAGATGAGGAGCTTCTGATTCTGTCCGACAACACGGGGTATTCAGATGTGGTTTATCTGCATCTGGCGCGTGCATTGAGGATACGTTTCGATGGGTTCTGCTCTAATAAGTGAATGAAGCGCGCTCAGGAGTCCAGCGAACAATATTTCAGTCATATGATTGTGTGAGACGCTGGAGATGGATTCTCTACATTCCTGTGCTCCGTTATAAACTCGAGTCTCTTAAAGGAACAGTTCACCCCAAAAATTAAAGTTGCCATTTCATTTGAATGACAAGGTGCGAATTATGGTGGTCAAAAATATGTATTCATTTTATAATTAAGTGCACATACACATATATAGTAACCAGTGTTGGGGATAACTCATTACAAGTAACGCGAGTTACGCAATCAGATTACTTTTTAATTTACAAGAGAATATCTGAGTTGCTTTTTCAAATAAGTAACGCAAGTTACTTTTTTTTTTCCAATGTATTGACTGACAGCCCTCCTGTCCCCATGTTGAGAGAAATCAGATGTTACTGTAGTTCTAAAATAAATATATGCATTAATTCATCACAGATTCAGTTTTCCTCAAAATGAATAAAAATAATGAATATGCGTCAACTCAGAATATGACGCAAACCTGCAATAATTAAATGTTAAACAACACAAATATCCTTTATGTATTTAATCCCATTCTATTAACCAATATCTTTGCTTCTGACCTTCGATGACCCCGTTCAATTATACTGATAAGCACAAATTACTCTAGACAAACATTTGTGTGTTTTTGTTTATTGCTGAAGTGTGTTGAAATGTCTTCTTCTGCGTTCTACTGTACGGACGTAAATGTACTTTGCCTTCAGCCTGAGGCTGATTCATTTCACTTTTGGTGTGAAAAGTATAACTTTTTTATTTTAAAAACAAACAAGCAAGCCCTGTCCAGATTTAAAAAGTAACGCAAAAGTAACGTAACGCATTACTTTCCATAAAAAGTAACTAAGTAACGTAATTAGTTACTTTTTTATGGAGTAACGCAATATTGTAATGCATTACTTTTAAAAGTAACTTTCCCCAACACTGATAGTAACCACAAAAGCTGTATTACAAAGTGCGTAAAGTTGCGAAAGGAAGTTACGTTACTATAGCAACAGTTCGCGAATTCAGTTCAGTATCATGAAATATGGCGGTCTAAAAAAAGTATTCTTTTTTATTATTATTTAAGTGTGTGTGTGTGTGTATATATGTACATATATAAATTTTTTAAGCAGCTTTTTCAATCATTTCAGTACCAACTAAAGTTATATTACAAAAAGTGCTAAAAGTTCGTTACTATAGCAAAAGTTCACTTCTGAAGCAATCTCAGTATCGTGATCGAACCCTACATAAGGAAATATTATGGTCAAAAAATAAGTATTCATTTACATTGAAGTTTGTGTGTGTGTGTGTGTGTGTGTATATATATATATATATATACACATACATACACACAGACAACACACATTTTAGCGGCAATTTTAATAATTTCAGTGACCACAAAAGTTAGATATAAGTGTGAAAAGTTCGTGAAATAAAGTTACGTTATTTTAGCAACAGTTCGCTGTTGTATAAATACTGTACTGTATAAATATTTTTGACCACTTATATTTATTGTATATAGTTATTATATATTTAGTATTCATAACACTTTAATATTTCTTTTAAAATATTTAAACATTTACAGAATTTATAATATAGATTATTTCCATGTAAATAACAAAAGGACGCTGGTGTTTTAAGACATTTAGCTAACTGTTCTGGGGCAGAAAAATATAATTCGGGTATCTACACAGACAAACCGCAACTAAACAAAATCTATCAGTTCGTAATGCTTGTAGCTGAAAACAGCACAGTTTACTGTATGTACATTGTGCGATGATGGGCTGCTACCAAACAGACCAGTAAAAGCTTATTTTCTAAAACATGTGTTGACCACTGCATCCAGAGAAATAAAACCCAAACTGGTATCGGTATGATATTGCTTTTTATTTAAACTTTCACACTAATTTTCCTTAACACAGTTTTAAACTCGTCATCAAAATGAAGTGATTTCATTACTAGATAGAAGGCTAGTGCATTGAGAAACAGTTTACTGTCCTTACAGCAGCTATAAAAGGGAATGGTTTCATCTTATTCACTATTCCATAAAAAAGAAATGGGAATAATAATAACATTTCAGCAAAAAGGATGGACTGTTGTCGTTGTTTTAATATGCTGTCAAACGGCATCGGTCAAGTTAGTTTTAAAATATCCCAAGAAGTTGAAAGAAAAAGGGAGACCCAACATATACATAAAAACATCAATGAAATTATAATTATAAGTATGGTCAATCAAACATGTACACACACACACTCGCACCACACACACATATGCATATCAACAGACATGCCAGAGACTGACTGAGTGACATAAGTCTTCCACAGAACATAACAGATACGTGAATTTTCTGTTGGTACAAAAATGGGCATTAGACAAAAATAAGAACAGATCTCTATTTGCACAAATAAGAAGCCAGCTCTCTCAAAACAAACACACACGCCGATATATACAAGAGAGGAGGCAGTGTGGCCACATTATTCTGACTGTGGATATTTACTATGGTAACTCTGGCGGTAGTTACGTCTGTCATAAAAAATAATGATTCTGGAGTTTGAAACAGTAAGTATAGAAAACAGTAAAACCAAGCTCTTCTAAAATTATTCCCGCTGTATAATAAAACTGGTGTTTTCGAATAAAGAGCTGTAGTGAGTAATATTTAAAAAAATAATAATAATAATTTTTGTTGACTTAAATATGTCAGGTTTAAATTAGATATCATGATGTAGCATTTAACAAGTTGGCAAAATCAGGATAATGTTCTCTGCAGAAAGGAAAGCGTCTATTATATTTGGATGAATCCTGTCAAGAACACGTCCAGATCATAATTCACCCCAAAAATCAAACGAAAAAAATACGAAATTATATTTTGCATAAAGAAAATAAATTCTACTTTTAGGACCATTAAGACTGTTTATATTGTGACACTATTTTTCATAAAATAAAATAAAGCCTGATAATTCCCATTACTACTATAATGCAATGGCATGACTTTATCACCATTGTTAAAAAATAAATAAAATAAAAATGATATATATATATATATATATATATATATATATATATATATACATACAGTCTTTACACAGCATGTGTGCTGCCTTTAATTTATGCTTAATTTTTGCACATTTTGAAATTTTAATTTCTCAATGTTCAAATTTCAACATCAAATTTTCAACATTTTCAGAGAATGATTAAAGAGAATCACCATTGAGAATGTCAAGAATTACAGTGAAAATAAAGGTAAGCCATCTGGACACAATATAGTAATGGGAATTGGTGGTAAAATATGCTTAAATATCATGGAAATAATGTAAAAATGCTAATTTCTTTACGCAAAATTAAGTTGAGTGAAGTTAAGAGTGAAATGCGACCTAAACATGCTCTTTTAGGTTTCATCTTTCAAATAAATCCAGAAATAACAGAAAATAAACAAAAGGCCAACGAAAGTATCCCTCTAGTTCAGCCGTCTCCTTTGCATAAAGGAATAGATCAATCCTTTGATAAAGTGATAAGCCCTACACACAACATTCACATTCAACAAACACAGAACGATTACCTTTCAGTCCTACAGTCAGGCAAAGCGAAATCTTCTCGCGGTATACGCACACATAAACGTCTCCATTCCTGCAAAGACGTGTGATCAGTAGCACACTTGGTCAAATACACAATTAAATGATTTAAATAGCATGATAACTGCTCTCATCCGCCGTTAGAAAGAGACACTGAAGCGTAACAGAGTCAGTAGACAGAAACATAGAACAGCTCTGTACACTGAACGTTTGGGTAACTGTGTGTCCTCACGTCTGTCGGGACGCAGGTTCTCTCGGGTGGGTGTGGGTGGAGAGAGGGCTGATGGGAAACACTCTCAGAGCAGCAGATCCTCCAATTCGCTTTCCTTCAGCTTGGCATTGTCTCTGACCTCATCGAAGGTGTACGTCTTTACAATCTTCCCGTTCCTGAACACAGTGTGCAGCAAGTCCTGCGAAGGGACAAGAGGAAGCGGTCGAAATGAACTTGCAAGATGACCATATGAAATTATCAGGATTTTTAAATAAAATGTAAGACTTTAAGACCTGCACAAACTAAATTAATACCATATGTCTCACAATCTCAAAAAAACATTTTTTAATTCATTAATCAAGTATGCATTCGATTGCAAAACAGGGTAAAAGCAAGTTTAAAATACTCAAGATGTGCTTTATTAAATATATGCATGTGTATTGAAACTAATACATACATATGTAAGAATTATAGGTCAACCGATATTGGATTTTGCTGAAATTATGTGTTTAATGAAAGGCAATAAACAGCATCTAAATATCGAATGTGTTAAATAATGTTATTTCAGAGAAGCAAAAAGAATTTGTCAAATTAAATGTCAGATACAGTTTATTATATATGTTATACTTTATTATATGTTATACTTAAAATTATACAAGCCCAAACTACATGGGACTCTTCTTTTGAAATGTCAGAGTTTTACTACTTCCAGCTGCTCGTTCAAATGAGGGAGATAAAATATGCACCAATCTATAACATATAACACCATAAAGAATTTACATTTTAATAATTTATCAACAGTACATAATAAGCAATCGTTTGGCATAAATGCATAAAATTCCTTGATTGGGAACTGCTCGGAAACGGCAGAATATTTAATGAAATCCTAGCCTTTTGAAGTTTATTAATCACATTAGGCCGTATCACAATTCCTGTTTTTCTTTCTCCAAATTTAAAACCTCTTAAAATGATAGTTAAGACCTTTGTTATACCATTTAAGATATTTAAAACTTTCATGATCAAACTCGATTAGGACTTGGGAGTGAATAAATATTCATTCTTCTCATCATTCATGAATTAATTGTATTGATTCTTTTTTAGTCATGTACCTCTCCGTATTCCTCCAGATCACCCTTCCCCTCTTCCAGAGTAACGAAATCTCCACTTGGTGTCCTGTGAAGAGAAAGCCGACCCTTCTTTGACCTTTTGTTGGGGTCTGCAACAGGGTCTTTGAAGACGTTAACCTGAAATTAATAACATCATATTAATGAAAAATTTATTTTCTCAATATTGCTGTATAAATATACACAGATATATATATATATATATATATATATATGTACAGTATATGGTATTTATACATCATGTGTGCTATACTGCCTTTCATTTATGCTATATTCAAAAATACAGCATTACAGTATCAACATTTTACATTTTCAGTGTTAAAAATTAGAATGTTTTATGAGAATCACCATTGAGAATTACAAGAATTATAGTAAAAAATAAAAGTGAATGGTAATGCAATTTACATTTAGTCATTTAGCAGACGCTTTTATCCAAAGCGACTTACAAATGAGGACAAATAGAAGCAATCAAAACCAACAAAATGGCAATAAATTTGAGCAAAATCGTCCCAGTACTTTAGTACTGTACATTTAGTTCTGGAACTAAAGCGGTGCGAAAGGTCCTAATATGTAAGTGCTGTGACAGGTCTCGGTTAGTCTAACGCAGTACACGTAGCAAGGTTTTGTTTTTTGTTTTTTTTATAATAAATAAAAAGAAAACATGTAGATAGAATAGAAAAAGAATAGGGAATTTCAAAGAATTCGGGAATAATAATTTCCATAGATTTAAAATAAATGTATTTCTTTAAATATTCCCTGTTGGCTCATAAATCATAAAACAGACCATCAGTAAAATAGTATTGCAATATATTAAATATAATAATTAGTTTTATAAATTTGTTTGACTAGACATGATTTTTGATCATTAAAATGTAATTAAACCCCTCTAACTGAATCCAGAAATATGAATGAAATTCAATATTTAAATATTTAAACAGAATTCATACAGAAAACACATAATTTGTGTTTAAAAAATAAAAGAGATTTCAAAGTGCCTTATTATTGTAGAAATGTTAAAAATATTTATTCAATTATTATTATTATTATTGAATTCATTAGACTAGACATGATTTTGGATTTTTTAAATTTAATTAAACCCTTAAAACATACTTTTGCTGGACAACAATGCCATGTAGTGTAAAACATGACTGATTTTTGAATAATTTTTAATCTTTCCTAGACTCTCACAAGTCATTCTTACAATTTAAGACACATTTTCATCCATGTTATCCATCTATGGATAGATAATGCTACCTTGATGTTTTCTAAATCAGTAGAACTCAACAACAATGTTCAATACATCACAAAAATCTGAATGTTCAGGCTTGCAAGCTATAAATTCACATGTACCTTATCAATGAAAATAAAATGTAGAGACAGTTCTGGAGCAGTACAGATCAGTCAAATGGACCTAAACTCCTTTATACTGGCACTGATCAATCCTAACTGGTAGAGAATGGAAATTAACGCCATGTATATGTGTTCCTTTGAGAATTAAACACATACTGACAAAATGTAAACCTAGAATGTAGAGTGAGTCGCTTTAGATAAGTGTTAAATGAATGTAAATATACTGTAGGGATCAGTTTAGGGTCATGCCTCACCTCTACCCAGTTAGTGAGCCAGTAGCACTCCGGATCTGTGCTTTCTACAGTGAACAGCACATTCCCACGTGGAATAACGCTTCCCTCCGGCACAGCCTTGATCTCGATGGGCAGGTGACCGTTGTATTTCTGCAGTGATGTAACATAAGAGACGTGACTGACCATCCCTGATGGAATAAAACATTCGGCACAGACAGAAATGTCATAGAAGTGAGCTTCAAAGTACCTCCAAAATGTAATTCCATCCTTTTTCATTGAACACGTCATCCTGAAAGTGTTCCCGGTACACCTCTTTTGCTTCCTGAATCTTCTCTCGTGTGACGACCTGTCCTGAGAGCGCAAAAAGAGACGAGACAACTGTGAGACGAGAGTAACACATACCTCAAGGAAGTGGCTGAACAATGCAGGAATAAAAAGACACTGCAGAAGAGGGTGGGTGGTGTGTATCCCTGTGTGTGTGTGTAATTGCACATTTTCCTACATCCTTGCTTTATTGCATTAAGGGATTCTTCCATGCGCACAGTGCAGCTTTGTCACACCAGTACATTACAAAGATGCAACAAACTGTCTTAAAGGCACAATATCCTCAAAAATAAAACTGCAGCTCTACTTGTCTTTCTTTTCCATTTTAATGTATTCATTTAGCAGATACTGTGACTTACAGATGGGTACTAGATTTACAGTACCTAAGGAAAGCAGTGCTTGCAAGGTTCAAGGTTAAAGTTTAAGGTTTTGTGTTTACAGTATGAGGCAGTATTCGATTAATATTGGTATATCTGAATAAAAACTATAAAAGTATCTGAATTATACTAACATAACAACGGTATAAAATTTCTTGAAATGTCTGTAATTTAAGTGATGACATCATTGCTGCTTGAATCTTAAAATTCAAAGCATAAGGTTTACAAAAAGCTGTAAAACTAATTCTGAGAGTTTGAAATTTAGGAAAAAGTAGTAAAATTCAAGCATAAACAACTGGAGACAACAACAGAAACAGAAGTAGTGCAATTTTGGTATTTATTAGTCTACCAAAAATGCATGAATCTGTGACCAGGGCTGCGTCGGGCAGCTGTCTTTTGTGGGTGAAAGAGCAGATGTTCAATTGTCTTGATTCATCCTATCACACGACTTCTAAAGCCTTCACCCTATCGCACCATGAAATCCTTTTCAATGTAAAAATAGACTAAATTCCTTTATAAATGTGGCACATTTGAGTGGCATGTGAGAATGACAACTTCAAACCAGACTGCTAGTCACACGTCTTAAACTCAAACCGCTATTTTCTTAGCCAATAACTCTACCATCAAGTTCGGTCATTTAACACTGGCTCCATCACGAGAAAGTCATTTTTTTTCATGTTGGAACAAACAATGTTATTATTTTTCAGGCTGCTTAAGAGAGAACTGACTGTCTGATTAAGTTTGGAGGGCAGGCTGCATTCTTGAGTGTGAACACAACCCAAAATTACCAGCAAGGCTCCGTTTTCCATTTGCAACTCAAATCAGTGCTGACAGCCGCATCCAACGTACCTTTTAAATATCTGTGGAGAATGTACTGAAGCCCATAGAAGACCGTTTTGTCGTATTTGACTTTTCTGAGCTTGGTAGGTTCTGTCTTCTTCTCACGGCACTCGAAGTAAGAGTACACCTTGCTGGTGTTGGGTGGGTACTGTTTGTAATGTGTGACCTGCAAGAAAGAAATTACAACATGTTACATATGATTCATAAACAGAAAGATCCACACAACAACAACAACAAAACAAAACATCCTCTGGCACGGCTGTGATAACATTGCAAATATGGTAATGGTGTCAACAAGCCTAGGCGCGTCTTTGTCCACACAGTTTCCTGTAATTCAGACAGTTATTGGGTCTGATCTAGTTGATCTGCCAACAATTCAAAACCACCAGCAACATATTACACACATTATTAGGCAATAGGCAGACATCACTATTATTGTTCATACTGACCTTAAGTACTAAAAAGCATTTTCACATAGTTTGTAAAAAATTTTATGTAAAAAAAAAATTCTCTTAACACAGTTTATTGTTTGTTTACTTCTATATGCTATTCACTGGTTTATACCAAAAGTGTAAACATTCAGCCTCCCTGGAACCATCAAAATATTTAGAGTAGCCCTGCTCAGATCTGTCAATCATTCCAGCTCAACCAATAGTGAGAGTTTGGGGTGTGGCTAATGTAGCAGACTGAGCCAGAGGGTGTTTAGCCGGCTGACGTGTTAAAGGGAGTTCACCCAAAAATGAAAATTCTGTCATTAATTACTCACCCTCATGTTGTTCCAATCCCCTAAGACTTTCACATTCATCCTCGGAACACAATTGAAAATATTTTAAATGAAATCAGAGGTTTCTGTTCCTCCACAGACAGCCTCAGTAAGCACGCATGCATCGTGGACCTGAGAAGAAGCTCTCGTGAACGCGAGATGGAGATTGAAACAGAAGTGAAGACAATTTTGAATATAGTCGTTATTTTGGGGGGGTTAACACACAAAAAGCATTCCCATCACTTCAGATAATTAAAGTTGAACCACTGGAGTAACATGGACTACTTCTGTGATGTTTTCACTACCTTTCTGGGCCTTCGAAGTGAAAGTTGCTTAGGCTGTCAATGGAGGGACAGAAGCCTCTAAGATTTTATTTTAAATATCTTCAATTGTGTTCCGAGGATGAACGAAAGTCTTAGGGGATTGGAACAACATGAGGATGAGTAATTAATGACATAATTTTTGGGGGGGTGAACTATCCCTTTAAGGCCAAAGAATATTTCGCTTTTATGCATACACAAGGGTCCATGTACAATGTGCATGACACAAATTTCGAAATTTTTATCGGTCATAACTTCTGGAGAAAAATAGAGCAGACACTGAAAAAAAGAGGAAGCTTTCTACAGCGCAAGTGTCGACTGCCTGTGTTTGCGCACGCGATCAAATAGGGTATACTTTGAAAGGCTGCGCATTCAACTGTCGAGTAACATGGACTACTTCTGTGATGTTTTCACTACCTTTCTGGGCCTTCGAAGTGAAAGTTGCTTAGGCTGTCAATGGAGGGACAGAAGCCTCTAAGATTTTATTTTAAATATCTTCAATTGTGTTCCGAGGATGAACGAAAGTCTTAGGGGATTGGAACAACATGAGGATGAGTAATTAATGACATAATTTTTGGGGGGGTGAACTATCCCTTTAAGGCCAAAGAATATTTCGCTTTTATGCATACACAAGGGTCCATGTACAATGTGCATGACACAAATTTCGAAATTTTTATCGGTCATAACTTCTGGAGAAAAATAGAGCAGACACTGGAAAAAAAGAGGAAGCTTTCTACAGCGCAAGTGTCGACTGCCTGTGTTTGCGCACGCGATCAAATAGGGTATACTTTGAAAGGCTGCGCATTCAACTGTACGCACACGCTAGTGTACACATTAAAAACTGAAATATACTTAAGTATACTAGACTTGGCAAAATACACAGAGACAGAAAACGGGGTAAAACAAGGGTAAACATTGGCGGTGCTTTTACAAGATGGAGGACTGTTGAAATGTTTGGGTTTCAATCGAGACGCCAAACTTGTGGAGTTTCTTCTCGACAGGTAAGGTAAACTCTATTTCTTGCCATGCATGTTAGCTCTTTACTGTCAAGCCCTAAGATACTGTAAAGATAAGAATAATCATAAAAGTGTTAGGAGTGTTTGCAAAGATTGTTTGTTTTACTTTTGTAATTCCTCTAGCTGACTACCACAGAAACTGCATCCTTCACCTTTAAAAGTTAAAAGCAACAGAAAAAAGACCCGCACTATTTGTAGTCAAACACTTATGGACTTTTGAATATGGAGTGCACTCAAATTACAATGTGCAATAAAAGGTTATAGTTATTTAGACTACTTATTTGTTGAATGTCTGTTAGCAACGTCCTTGCAACAACCAACAGGATTCTAAGAATCATGATCAACTTTTTTCATGATCAAACTTTTTTTATACAGAGAGTAAAAAAAATCATCTCTCTTCAAAGAGTTGTGATATAAATACATCCTATGTTGACAACAAGACTACAGTTACACTAGATATCAAACAGACAACCTACTAAGCTCCCTTATGATATTTTGTGCATGCTGACCTTTCCCTGGCACTTTTTGGCTGGTCTCTTGTGTACGGGCCAGCCTGGGAAAGGTTACAACCTCATGGTTATGCCTGACAGCTACTGTGGTTGCTCCCTGCACTTCGAGAACAAATTTCAGGCAGCTTTTCCCCCTCTGCCTCAATCAAAGGGCAGAAGTCCTTGTGGAGCAGCAGTCGAGGAGGTCCCGCTAGGGTCTGGAGGCCTGCTCCCTTCTGGAACAGAGCGTTCATGTGAACAGCTGCATGCGATCCAGGCATGCGCAACAACTGGCTGTGTGCATGAGGGACACGAAAATGCCACAAAGTAGGCTTCAGATCAAGGCAAACGGCTACGGCTGTATAAGAAGCTATTTAAAGGTGTGGCAAACTGAAATGAAAGTGAAACATTGTAAACAGGTTATAAAACTGAGCAATCAGTTGCTTTGAGATGCTTTGACCTGATCTTATGTTCCCAAGCAGACCAATTAGCTAGTCACTTATGCCTAAAATCTCATGGACAACACAAGCATGCCATTGTGATGTTGACAATTGAGGATAAAGGGGGAAAGATGCAACACCAGATGTAATTGTTAATACAAACCCAGCGAATGCCCTTTCTGATGCTAAAGTTAATGTGCGTATCGATTGCTCAATCAACATTACACACGCAGCAGAGCGTGCACATGCATTCAAGGACCTTTCCTACTCATCTTCTCCACAGGGATTTCAAACGATTCCCCAATAAAGCCATGAACCATCGAGCTCTAAAATGAATCACATTAGAGCTTTGATGTGAAGGGAAACTATTTGAGGAAGTACAAAACTCATTTATGAGCAAATAAGCTACTCAAGAACTAGTCAAATCAAAACTAATTCAGAAATTTCAATTAAGTTTTTGTTTTCACTAAACGGCTGTTAGATCTTTTTCTACTTTCAGCAAAGTAACTGAAAAGTAACTTTAAGTAACTGTGTAAACTGAAAAAGTAACTGTAAACTGACATTATTTAAGTATGTTTTACTGCGCTCTAGTAAAAATTTTTATGCTTAATTAATGCAAGGTAGAGTTAGGCCTGTCGCAATAATCAATATATCGACTTATCGCACAATATATGTATATGACCTCAATAATTTTTGGTGACGCAATATATCGCCCATTATATTTACTTTACTTAAAATTAATGTCACCGTGTTTTTTACATTCCACTTGCGCCTGTGTCTTTTGCAGCTTCTCGTGCATAACGTGGTGTAGTCATGAGGTGCTAGCTCAAATTTAAAAAATGCTTCAACAAAAAAAGTTTCACCTGCAGATATGGCCTTGTTTAGGGATCTGTGCCTTTGTGTGTACGGCCATCTGACTGCTGAGTAGTGATTGTGTTTATCAGCAATAGCGTGCACCCTTCATTTACAGAGAAAAGAAGGTCAGGGAAAAATCTGTAGATGGAAAAATCTCCATACAAGTTCTTTATGCATTTTTCTTTTTTTGTACTTGTTACTATGCACTTTTTGTTAGAAAATTTTTATTTTATATTTATTCAAGTTTTTTAAGGTATCTAATATTTTGATACTTAATTTCTATGATCTAGCCTAAATATTCTTAAAAATTAAAAGTTTGTTGTCATTTGGAATTGTGAAGGCCTTCTTGCATTATTATGTTGTTACATTATGATTATATATTCAGTGGCATAAAATGGTCTTTAAAATGACAATATAATATCGCTTATCACAATTATTTCTGGGGCAATATATCGCACATCAAAAAGTTGCTATCGTGACAGGCCTAGGTAGAGTATAATCTGAAACCTTTATAATTCTTTGCCTCAAAAACTATTCAACAGTTATTTTTATATTTATAGAAAAGAGGAACGTTTTGGAGTCCATTTCAACTTTGCTCGTTTCGTTTTTTCAAATGATCAGATTCGTTTTGAAGTAGAAAAACAGATATAGAATTTTTTTTCTCCAAATATGTTTATTTTATTTACAGCGTAGTTTGAAAGTGTCACCTATTCATTATGTCATTTGCAAAGCTTCATGGGAGTGGATGGTTGCTGTTGAACTCTGAACACTTATTCTTCAGGTTTCTAGAGAACTATATATGATTGCTGAACAATCTTATGCTTTCTATTACTCAGTACAGTATGTTTCTCCGACCATTAGATCTTAACCACACCCCTTTCTCATTCCTGGTGTCACTTTTACTTCCTTCTCATCGCCTCTTGTTCTAAGTGCCACTTGCTTCTACAGTTTCACCCTGTTTCTATCAGAGCCATAACCTTGAATGGATAGTAAACGTCGACCGTTAAATGTCAAGAGTAGCATCACAAGGTCAAAAGCAGAGCTCATGGACTGACTCCTGAAACAAGTGTCAGAAAATCAGCAAACTAACAAGAAGACACAGAAAATAGATTGTAGTGTTGACTGAGTAAATAAGGAACAACCAGCTATTTTCCACACGTGATCTCTGACCCTCCAATTACATCTGCAGGATCCTTAAGTAATGAAGCATCCCTTAAAAGGCTGAATGGATGTGTCATCAGCCTCAATGCAAAACACGAGAATCCTATTACATCCGTGGTGGGAGGATAAAAGACAAAGGCATCCACTCCAGTCCTCTAGCAGCACTAACGAAAGAAAACACTGATTAAACAGAGATGAGACCATATCCACAACATAACAGACACAACAGCAGTCAATGACGCCTCTCTGGATCCAAGGACTGAGAGCGCTGGGTTGAGGTGAAAAGTCGAAGACCTGAGCAGCAGCTTCAGGATGGCAAAGTAAAACTGGCATACAATTGATATTTTAAGATTAATAAAGATGCAAAGGTTATGACATACTTGCTTTTATCGTTTCTTAAAGCGAATGATAAACACTTTGGTTGCCTCGTATGTTGGAAGGACTCGACAGCAGTTTTTGCTCATGATACAGCATCTTGTTACGTCACATTGCACTTTAAGTATAATGAATAACTTGTAATAAAATACAAGTTTTGTGTGCGTGTGTGTGTGCGTGTGTGTGTGCGTGTGTGTGTGCGTGTATAGTTGTTAAGCAGATGTGTTATATGTACAACAGTCAGCAGATTTTCCAGACATTCCTACTTCCATCGCAAACTACAAAGTGCTAGTCATTTCGTTAATCTGAATTTAACCTTTCATTTCTGTTTTAGACAGCTGCACTATATAATTATTCGTTTTTAAATTTCAATTTAGTTTTGTAGTGTCACTAAATGACTATTTTTCTACTTTCAGTTTAATGTTTTATACATACATATATATGTATGCATTTGTCATTTTTATTTTATTTATTTTATTTTATTAAATGTGTGTATATACATATATATAGTATTTATAGAGTTTTAGCTTTTAGTTTTAATTACTTTTTCTTATTTGTAAGTCGCTTAAAAGCGTCTCCTAAATAAGTAAAAGTAAATATATATATATATATATATATATTTTTTTTTACAGTATATTTAGTTTCTATTTCAGTTTTAGCATTTTAGGGCTTCCAAAGTTAATGTGTAAACTAATATTATTTAACACCAAGTACAGCATTACACCAAGGCAGCTTACTGAAGAGGATACAATATTGATGCACTGTATATTTACAATACAGTGCATCAAAAACTATTCTAAGGTCATTTTAATATTTTAGATATTTATAAAAAAAACAGGTTCGTTTTGGAGTCATAAAAATCTATTATAGCCTAATTTCGGTTTTCACAATTATTAATTGTGGTTTATAATAACAGTGATAGACTACATATGAGGGCTTATGTATGCACTACACACAGTACATACTATCTGTCATATTCTTTACATTAGAATGTCCAGACTATATGCATGTAAATAATATTTCATTTAACACATTTCATTGTCTTACACACTACAATGACACTAAATCTGTTGCATTTTGAAACCGGATTATTTCAGCAGTATCTGAAATGGAGTCGAACCGGTGACTATAACTAATAGGTTAGGTCTAACGTTAGTAGGTTAGCTGCACAGCTCTCAGTCTATTTCCTGAGAAAGCAAGTGCTTTCAGTTTTGCTTTTGAAGAGAAATCCACCCTCAGGACCCGCGCCTCCCGCCCTTTAGGTGTAATTCACACTCTTATCTGCTCGTAATCCGTTATTACCGACATAAACACACATATTCTACTCAGAGGAATAGAGATGAAGATGTACCTGTCGTTTCTGCTCACACACACTCGGCCTACCGACCTGACTGACACCGATTCAAATGTTAACGGCCTGAAGGATGAAACCACCTTAATTCCTCGTTCTCTTTCCCTCATTTCCCTCTCACTCACAGGTTCAGCGGTACACAACAGCACACCGGGCCGGGCGGTGGGTCTCTGCTCACCTTGTAGGAGTCAGTAGCTAACAAGATGTTGAAGTCCACGGCGCTTGTGTGCTGCTCCATCTTCCCGTTGACGCGCTGCTGCTGCCGCTGCTGCCTGTCAGTCTGTTGTTCGCTCTCCGCCGCGGGGACTCTCAACCAACCCCCGTCGCTGAGGAGGGAGGATGACGGAAGCACAGTGGGCGGGTCCGAGTGGGGTGGTCTGGCCAATCAGTGGATAATGTGACTTAGACGTCATTGCAGGGGGCGAGGCAGAGTGCGAACGATGAAACAGAAAGCTCTAAGAGAGAAATGTGATAAATTAGAAAATGTTTAATTTTAGGTTTTGCTTTACTATTTTTTTTTTAAAGAATACATATTGGATATTTATTTCATTTTTTTAAAGTCTTGTCTTCTTATTTAACCCCTTTATTTCGCATTTCGAATTTATTTTAATATAAATTCTTCCTGTAATGCAAGTTATGAGAATATATTGAAAATACATTTATTTTGACATATGTTTTGAAATTACTCCTCTTCTTTTTGTTTTTGATTGTATTTGAGGGCCGTCCTTAGCTGACGCTTACGTGGGGCCCGGTGCGAGAATATTTTGAAAAGACATTTATTTGACATATGTTTTGAAATTACTCCTCTTCTTTTTGTGTTTTGATTGTATTTGAGGGCCGTCCTTAGCTGACGTGGGGCCCGGGTGCGAGGTAGGGAGCGGGGGCCCCCCTCGGTCCCCCCTCAAGCGTGTGGATGGACCAGTTGCACCCCACTAAGGACGGCCCTGTATATATCCTCCTGGGACCCAGGCATAGACTTCTCTGTAGAGGACATTATATTTGAGTTCATTTCTCTCAAACCATACACGCCACAGTTTTAAGTGGATGTCCTTTACAGAGCACATTCAGGATCTTTTACGGATATCAAATGTTTGGAGGTTTGATCCTAAACACTCCCTCCTTGGTCTTTAAATATAACTGATATTGACAAAACGATCAAATGTAGTACTCTTAGGGGAAATATGATCATGTTTTGCAATTATCGTTTAAATCTGGCTAATTTTCAAATTGTTTGTCGTAAATAAACATCTCAGAAAAACGTTACGGGGTTTCAAATGGGAATATGACTTTTTTGTTGCGAAACAGGGCATAGCTTTCATACATGTCCTCTGTAGAGGACGCCAGGACAAACGGCATGTTAATCAGGCATTTTGGGGAAACACAACAAGTCAATAGAAAGAAATTATAGATCAATATTCCGATGAAATATGAGATATTCTAATGAAAATGTTGCCCATTATTACTCCCATTATTACACTTCTTTTTTCATTATGGTTTGTCCCAAGAACACATTAATATGCAAATTAGATGCAATATATAAATACATTTTATAGAATGGGAATACCAATTTATGGACATTTTACGCACATATTCCATAAAGTGTATCAAATCATTCTGTTACACCTTTCATAACATAGATGAGCAATCTTTGGTTAAAAATAGCCTGAAACCTACAAACTGATTGGTGAATGAAAAAAATAAAACATTGTTTTTGCCTATACATGACTTTTCATGTCTATTTATTTTTTTGAATAACTTAGTCCTGGCGTCCTCTACAAAGGGCACAGAATAAAATATGAATAAAAAAAAGTTCCTCCATTTGTTTCTTATGCTCCAACCAATGTCATGACTGCTGCTGACCCTATGCAATTTCATTTTAAGTTGTGTTTTAGTTACTTTAATGTTTGCCTTTAAGGGGAAGGTCTAGCCGCTCTCTGATTGGCTGTGGGAAAGGCTATGTAAGTGACAGATCAGTGACTGCAGTTACATATAACGAACAGAGGAGGAGCCAGAGGGGCCATTAAACTTTCTAATCTAGGGAAATGCCCATTGACCTTAGTAATAAATTAGCAGTCTGCTGATTTTGTTGGTTAGTTGATTCTGTCATGCGGTGCAATAGCAAGGAAATGCATATGATATGAAGTGTCATGCAATGCTTATATGGCTAAATAGTTGCCCAGCCAACTTTTACAGCCGATTGGACGGTCAGAGGCTAACTGAAAAAAGCACAAATGTCAGGGCATGTCAAAACTTCTCCAGGGCCCGAAACACCCTCGGACCCCAGAGGGTTAAAGCAGCCGCAATAAACTCCAGGGGAATAGCGACTGGATTTAGCTACCTTTATTTCAATTAAATAAATAATATTAGTATATATTAATATAATATTAATCTGCATTAATATTAATCTAATTCATATTAATATATTATATTACAATATAATAAATATATTTGGCCAAAGACAACACCACAATTGCTGACACTATACCATAATCTGCAATACTTGGCATTACTATCATCGAAATAATATGAGGATAACCTAATCTAACCCTAACCCGTATGTGTAGATGAGATGTCAAAATAATCAATCTAAATTATAAATGTGAGCCTCTAACACACCACCAGAGGACACCATTGCACAAGTAATATAGTGAAATATTGCCACTGGGCAAATTAAATGCATAAATGGACTTAAAACTTGAATTAGATCTTAAGTATTTGCTTGCATCAGTTTTGTGTTGTTGATATGTAAACAACTAAATGAAAACAAAAATCTCCCTTATAAAATTAAAAATATCCTTTAGCAATTTGTCTAATAAGAAATCAATTATAAAATTAAAAATAGACAGATAATGTTGAGGGGTTATTAATGCAAATCCAATCCAAATATTGCGTCAATGCATAATATAAATGAATAATATAAGGGCAGGGCAAAGCATATAAACAGTGCTTCAATACTTGAGAGAATGATCTGGAAAATACCTCATTTAAAATTCATTAAAAAAAAAGACTGGATTTAGCTACCTTTATTTCAATTAAATAAATAATATTAGTATATATTAATATAATATTAATCTGCATTAATATTAATCTAATTCATATTAATATATTATATTACAATATAATAAATATATTTGGCCAAAGACAACACCACAATTGCTGACACTATACCATAATCTGCAATACTTGGCATTACTATCATCGAAATAATATGAGGATAACCTAATCTAACCCTAACCCGTATGTGTAGATGAGATGTCAAAATAATCAATCTAAATTATAAATGTGAGCCTCTAACACACCACCAGAGGACACCATTGCACAAGTAATATAGTGAAATATTGCCACTGGGCAAATTAAATGCATAAATGGACTTAAAACTTGAATTAGATCTTAAGTATTTGCTTGCATCAGTTTTGTGTTGTTGATATGTAAACAACTAAATGAAAACAAAAATCTCCCTTATAAAATTAAAAATATCCTTTAGCAATTTGTCTAATAAGAAATCAATTATAAAATTAAAAATAGACAGATAATGTTGAGGGGTTATTAATGCAAATCCAATCCAAATATTGCGTCAATGCATAATATAAATGAATAATATAAGGGCAGGGCAAAGCATGTAAACAGTGCTTCAATACTTGAGAGAATGATCTGGAAAATACCTCATTTAAAATTCATTTTAAAAAATGTGCATTTTAAATCCGTATCTTTATAATATCTGAAAGCCGTATTATCTATGCAAAACATATTTGCATTAAAAAAAGACCTGGTATTCTTCATTGTAGAGAGTGACTCGGTGTGTCAGACCAATGGGAGCAGCAGCTGAACCCGTGTGCGTGCGATCAGATGGTGAGAGGAGAGGAGACGAAACGCGCTTCTGTGACGGATCGCGGTTATTTAGGGGTAATAACTGCTGAAATAAGAGCGTTTTTACTTTCATGTGACCTGTACTGAATTCCTCTGCATCCATGCATAAGGCTTCACCCGACCGCTTTCAGGGTCTTTGGCTCTGCGTTTGCTGAACGGTGAGTTTGACTATCTTTCCGCTCTTTTACGGCAACCTTCCGGCAAAACCGTTACTTCAGATCTGTCGGTGTTATAATTAGTTTGTCTCATTCACTTGTGTAACAGTGACGGTGCATCACAGATAAATTACTTGTGTTTTCACTCCAAATATCGCACTTTTCAGAGTGTTATTATTTTAAGAAACTTCCGCATTTGCTGAAACATGGAAATGTTTCTTTCACAGTTTCCGCTTGCAAACTGGTCAGTGTAGGAAACACATTGAATGCAGTGGCATTCGTTTAGCTTTTTTTAAAAGATTGTTGATGATGTTTGAAGGGCTAAGCACATTTGTGCTTCCTGTTTTGGTGACTTCCTTTGCATAAAGTGAACGTTAACTCATATTATATAGTGTGTTAGATAATGTAACCCTGTAACGCAAATAGAATATATCTGGAAATGTCTCAATAAAGAAAAAGCGATATTTGGTTTGCGTATTCCTCTAGAAGCACATGTACACCTGCTATACAGTTATTTTAAAAGCTGGTGTTCATGGAGTCCCATGCAATTATGGGACCTTAAAAAGGCCTGAAGATACTTCACACACACACACACACACACACATGTTGTGTTTCCATGTTTTATGGGGACATTCCATAGGCGTAATGGTTTTTATACTGTACAAACTGTATGTGCTATTGCCCTACACCAACCCTACCCCTAAACCTACCCCTCACAGGAAACTTTGTGCGGTTTTACTTTCTCAAAAAAACTCATTCTGTATGATTTATAAGCTTGTTTCCTCATGGGGTCCTCAAAAAATGTCAAAATTTACTAGTATTACTATCCTTGGGGGGACATTTGGTCCCCATTACGTGATAAATACCAGGTACACACACACACACACACACACACACACACATATATATATATATATATATATATATATATATACACTCATTCATTGCCAAATATTAAGGATGGGGTTAATAGTTTGAATAAAAATAGTTCATTGTCAAAATATTGTGATGGTGGTCTATGGTGGCTTTTCATATATGTGCATGAAAAAAGCATCCCTAGTCCTTTGTGTAAAAAAAAAAAACTCTTTCTTTTTCTAATTTAGCATTGGTTATGGAACACCAAGCCAGTGATGATGAACCACCAGTAGTTCGTAGAGAGGAAAATAAGAGGAGAAGAAGAAAGATGAAAGCATTTACTTCTACCTCAGCTGTATTGACGGATCAAATAGCTGTAGAGTTTGTACTTCCCACCACCAACAAAAACAGCAAGAACCCAGACATTTTGCACTTGGACGTTACTGGCAATTGGACGATAGAGCAGGTGAAGGTTCAGATCTGGCACAGAGCGGTAACCACTAAGTTGTGCCCTGAATTTTACCAAAAATACTCTCCGGACCACTGCATGCTGCTCTACCAGAAGAAAGGCAACTGGTATGAGATCTACGACAAGCAGCAGGTATTCCAAACCCTTGACTGTATCAGATATTGGAAAGCATTGAGAAAAGAGGTTGGGAAGATTCACCTGGTTGTTAGACAGCAGCCTACTGAGGATTCGCTTCAATACCAGCGGTTTCTCAACCATCTAATTGGATATGATGTTACAGATGTCAGCAACGTCCATGACGATGAACTGGAGTTCACGCGAAGAAAGCTACTGACCCCTCGGAAAATTGAGCTGTCTGATCGAGATCCCAAACTTTACTCAATGGATCCTTGGATAACCACAAAGCCTCTCCCTGAATACCTGCTGAGCAAAATAAGTAACAATCACATCCTGGTAGTGATACACAAGGACACAACAAGCCAGACTATTAAGGTGTCTATAGATGACACACCTGTCCAGGTTCTTCAGAGCTTCTTCACCAAGATCACTAAAAAGCGAGCAATTTTAGGCATATCAGAAGACGTCAGCGAATCCGATTTTGTCTTGAGAGTTTGTGGAAGAGAGGAATACCTATATGGCAACTATGCCATCAAAGATTTCCACTGGATCAGACAGTGTCTTAAAAATGGTGAAGAGATCCATCTGGTTTTAGAGCGTCCTCCAGACCCAGAACAAGACGTGGTCCAAAAAGAGGAATGGTCTCAGGTCGATGACTGCACCGGTGTCGCTGGTACTCATGAACAACTGACCATCACTGAGAAAGACCACGAGAAGGTGTTTACCATCTCCCTTTGGGACTGCAATCGTAAATTCAGGGTGAAGATCTTGGGGATTGACATACCAGTGCTGCCACGCAATTCCGAGTTGATCGTGTTTGTCGAGGCCAGCATTTTCCACGGACAACAGCTGCTGGCCCAAGAAAGGACAACTTCCAAACCCTTCACAGAGGA